AAAAAAAAATAGCAGTATAAAATCGACATTATCTGTAAGTTGGATACACACCTGCGTAGAAGACGTTCCTTCATAACTGCTATCGTGTAACAAATATCTTATTTAAAAAATGGAAAATCTTTCTATTCGCCTTTCATTATCATTTTATGTACAAAGTCGGTATTTCTTCGGTAAACAATGAGGAACTGAGTTTGAGCTGAGTCCAACATCAAATTCAAGTCTCTGAAACATTATCAAGCCATAAAGTCGATGTTCTAGCGCAAAAGATTCTGTCTATCCCATTTCGTGCTCGATTTATTTAGAGTCTATTAATACTAGATATATACATTTGTCCATATTCACCGCGTAAATGAAAAAACTACAAAGAATACCTACCGCGAAAGATACATGCATCTTTCGAGGGGCGTGTAGAAAAATCTTATCGCTTAATTATTTATGCTGACTCTCCTCAGCGCAATTACGTATACACAAGTCTTATTTTACAAGATCATGTGGCATCCAAACTAAATCTTGATATATAATGTATAATTATATCTTGCAAGTATGCATAATGCAATTTATTACATTAAGTATTAGGTCACGTAACAATTTAATTCCTCTTTTAATCAATTGTAACATAGCACAATAGTATATATATTTTATTTACACAATATATATACTTTGGAAATAATGCAATTAGGCGTTGCGCGTATGCGTAAGAAAATATACAAGGAAGTATACTTCAAATATAACTTCTCGTCATCTTAACTTGAAACTTTTATAAGATTCAATCTAATGCGCGTATTCTCCAGCGTTTTTCAATGTTCTTCCATTTGTTTCCGAGCTATAAAAATTTTTCGATATCACCGCTATTGTCAAAATCTCCGTTTACTAACGGGCCATATTGTAGTGTACCTTCCCCGTTTTGTGAATCGGTTGAAATCTCAAAAAATTATGTTCTTCCGTAGCACTCTCATTTATGTGACTGTATGTATTAGGAAGCAAATAACAGACAGACCATAATAGCATTTTCATTCAAATGATGTTAGAATAAATGTACCATTAGAATGGAGATTACGAGGAAGTTTCATATTAACAAGTTCGATTTCAACGATTTCACAGAACGGAGTATCAACTGTAATTAGAAGTATATCAAACAGCTGTTGATGACGAAAATACTTAACAATTGTTTCGAACGTTGTTTATCCTCACCATCCTTTTATTGCCTATCTTATATTCACAATTTCGATCTACGCCTGTCTCCTCTTTCACGATAGCTCGCGTACTCGAATCGCACGTGACAACTTTCAAAATTTTAATGATTTCGCAAACAGCGCGGCGGTAGCCTGCGTTTTATCCCCGTTAAACCTACGCAATTCCGCAATGACTTGTGCCCTGGTGAAACCCAGGGCCTCCAGTTCCTTAACCGTGGCTTCCGTGAACGGATCATGCGGATAGATTGTAGTCTCTAAGGCGGCGGCGGGTCTTGATGACCCATGATTACTGCTGCCTTGCCCGTCTAACGAATTTCAATGGAAACATTATATCAATGACGAGGAAAGTTGTATCTTCTTTAAAAAAGAGGCAAATAAAATATAAAATGCTTCAAATAATCGTGCAAATTAAATGTTCATAGCTTTGAGCTGCTGTCGAGAACAAAAATCAAGTAATTTAAATTTATTTAAAGAATAAGCAATGGTAGAAATATACTAAAAACAGACCAGGCGCATAGGGGAAAGATAAAGTTAAATTTTTTTTTTAATTTTAATAAATGGAGTGGAATAAAAGGACGAGAGGATTAAAAGGATAGCCTGGGCTGATACATACTTACCGTGCTGCTGCCTCTGTTTCTTAGCATCCCTCGTACTATCCTCGAGAGCTCGCTGGAGATCCCTGTCGTCTATGGATTCATCGCTGTTCCCGCTCAATTTTGCACACTCCGGTAAATCGCCTGTAAAAATGATTAATAAATTATTAATGTTCGCCAATGTTTCTGAATCTCACGTCTGCTCAAAATTAATTAATCTTAAACATGTCTTATTAGTTACAAAGAAAGGAAGAAACACACCTTCCGCCAGAAATGTAGTTTCAGTGCCTGTAGTTCCGATTTTCAGGACATTCTTCTTCAAGTCTATGCAACACTGATGTCTTTTGAGCATGTCCAAGCCCAACAGCATGTCCATAGGCTGTTCCTCAAGGACGCTGAAGGATGTTGTCAGATGGTCGTTGCCGATCTGTATTTGTACCATGTGTATACGACCGATTATGCGTTGTACTCCAACGCCTTTGGCGACTCCCGCCCACCTTGTGTCGACTAGACGCATAATGTGGCATCTCTCGGCGCAGGCAGCGGACATAATAGTAGTTTGTGCACCTTGGGTCACAAAAATAATGGCTTGTTGACGTTACGATGCTTAGAGTCAATTTTGCAAAATGCATTTTCTCCAAAAACCTCCTTTCGCATTTGTTATTTCTAGAATCGCGATCGAAATACATTCGAATATATTTAAATCAAGATTCAGTCTTTTTTTCCTGTTTTCGCGGACAGAGGTCAGGCGTTCTAAAATTAAATTGTTTTTCTGCATGCCGTGCAGAATGATTATTCGCAATGTCAGATGTATACGTTTAAAAATAGACATTTACTCAGCCGCCCTCTCCCTCCCCCGAGATGTATAACAGAAGAACAAAGATACTTAAAAATAATCTCAAGCACGATACAGTAAAAATCGAAGAAAGGACTTGCACAAAGACTTTGTTTTTCTCGAGATGCGAGTGGAAAATCGACGCGTTTTCCCTTGCTACCGGAGGTAGCGCTTGGTCCGGACAATTTACCTGAGTCAATAAATGCCTTAACCGGAAATCCGTTGACTTTACAATTAATATACAACATGACGACGGTGCCGAAGGTTTCGGGATTGTACTCCATCGCGGCCTCCATATTTGCCTCGATATTCTTCTGCCTGATCTCTTCGGCGATCAGCCGCTGCGCTTCGGTGTCGAACGGATCGGCGTTCATCATTCTCAGCCGTTGCGCTTGCCGTTCTTCTCGAGCGGCTATCTGCTCTCTGAGTACAGTCGAAAATCTATCTATAATGCACGGATATTTAGGCCAAAGGATGCAAAACGCAACGTTAAGCTGTAACATTCGAAACTGCTTGCTCACCAAGATTTCCCGACAGCAGCGCGTCGGCCAATCTGGGATTATTCTGCTTCAGCAACGCCAGCTGATCCGGATTGGCCAGGAACATGTTCTTTATCATAGCCGGATCGTCCTCGCTGCGGGGATTTTGTACTCTGTTGTTCGCGACCGGCGACGGGCGCTGATTATTGCTGGTCCCGGGAATTCTGATGGAACTGAAGTCCAGTATTGGAATGGCTAGAGCGATGTTTCTTCAAATTTAGTACGTTCATTTATTTCCGGCAAGATATATGTTGCCAAGTACACTGACTGGCAGGAATGCCTGGACATTTTGATATGTATGATATATATGTACATGTATATGTATTATGTCCAGGCATTCCTGCCGGTAGAGTGTACAGCACAAAGGGGAGAAAGATAAAAATAAATTGACATTGTTTTTCAAGTAGGTATTGAGGCTGAACAGCCAAGATTGACAAAGGCATGTATAATTAAGCGGAAGTCAAAGGCCGAGGCTTCAAGGCCCCCATTGTTATCTACGCTCTATCAGCAAGATAAATGATAAAGCACGCCGTTGGGATGCAACTCGGAGCATAATAAAGACAAACAACGGCATAAAGATAAATAACGTTCTTTGGGCTGTACGTTAAGGTTACATCGAAGGTAATTATTCAAAATTTGGACTCCACACCTCGAAAAGTAAAATTATTAAAAAATTAAAGCAAAATTTCCCGCTTAACCACACACGGTCCATCCATCCCTCGGGTACCTACATCTGTTGAAGGGTCCTTGCATGTTCAGATCGCTGCCCCCGCTCTGGTGCATGTGTTGGAGGATGACGGCGTCGCCGTCGCGTATCCCGTGGTCGCGCAGCGACTTCTTGTCGTCCATGAGCGGCCGGCCGTTGAACGCGATCACGATCTCGTGGGCCGGCACGCCGCTCTCGATCTCGCAGAACGCCTTGAAGTTCTCCAGCTCCAGTTCCTCGCTCACGTCGAGAACGAACACGCTGTCGTCGCTGAGCGTCGTCACCGTCACCTTCATCGCGTGCGCGCCGGTGGAGCTTCACGGATCAAAACACGAGGTCCACGTCAAACCAGACCAAACCACGCGTCCGCCTCGCTCTCTCTCTGTCTTTCTCTCTCTCGCCGTCGACGGGAAAGTGCCGGGAAGGATCCGCGACGATCGCGACGTGATCGCGATCGGAGAAAGGCGGCTGGCGGCCGATAACTCGTGCGGAGTGGGCGGGGAGACGCGGTGGAAGGGAACGGGCCGATCTCGCGACGAGTCCTCCGGATGTAAACACGGGACCAGCTCAGCAAAAATACTTCCCCGACGGCGGCGAGACACGAGCGGACACGATCACGCGAGCCGAGACGGGTGACGCGGCAGTGCACGCGGCGGCGCGGTCGACATCAACAATCGAACGACAATCGAGAGCCCCCGTCTCGACGCGGGCGCCGATAGGCTGCGATTTTCTGCGTCCAAATTCCAAATCGATTTTGAACGGGCTGGACGTCGTATGACGTCACGTCAACACTGCACGTGTTCGAGCTGCAGAGATATCACGCGGAGAAATTTATTTTCAAAGAAAAAAAATAAATTATTGACGGCACGTTTCCCCATATATTCTAAGGATGAAGCAATTATCGGAGGAAAGAACGAAGCTCGTGTTTGAGAAGCTAACAAAATAGTGAGTAACTTGGCAACCTCAATTATTCACTCATTTCCCATAATTTTCCAGTTAAATGTAGATAAGTGTATCGAATATTGATAATAAATTGTAAATTGAATTACGCAGCATTGGCACTAACGTGAAGAACCTGATCGATCGACCGGACGGGATGTACTGCTTTCGGGAGAAAAAGGACAGGGTGTACTATGTGTCGGAGAAGATATTATCCTTGGCGAATACCGTGGGAGGTGATCACCTGTTGAGCTTAGGCACCTGCTTCGGCAGATTCACAAAATCGGGGAAGTTCAAGCTGCACGTTACCGCGTTACATTATCTGGCCCCTTACGCACAGGTGAGTGTGCGCCGTTGAACATGTTTACCGCGAGATTATGAGCAAGCGTTAGTTGGAACTTATTCAAGAACAATGTCCTTATCCAGCACAAGATCTGGGTGAAACCCTCGGCGGAGCAACAGTTTCTGTACGGACATCACGTTATGAAATCAGGTCTCGCTCGTATAACGGAAGGTACTTCTCAGTATCAGGGTGTCGTCGTGCTTTCTATGAACGATTTGCCACTGGTATGTGATATATACTGTACAATTATTTCTTGATTACATTGTCGATTATCTCTCTTTAACATCGTTGCATAAACGAAAGAGATAACAAAACGATGTAAGGCTCATTCATTTTCTATTTAATATGTCAGGGATTTGGCGTTGCTGCAAAGAGTACAGCGGACTGCAAACACGCGGATCCGATAGCAACAATTTGCTTTCACCAAGCGGACATTGGAGAGTACATACGTTCAGAGGACACGTTGCTCTAGCAAAGATTCACATGCCTGTTATTTTTTCAAGGAAACGAAATATATATCCAATTTGTACAGTAAATTCGATGTCTTTCTTCGTATCTTATAATTTACGTCTCCACGAGTGTGACCTTAAAATTAAACGCATTACATACATATATTGTATTTAGTTAGAGATTGTTACATGCTCGTTGTGACATATGTACGTATGTATGTGTATGTACTTTCATCATGGAACACAGACACGAATGGTGATTGTCTCTTTGCAAAACAAAAGATTACAGTTATAGATTTATTACTTCATCTCCATTGTATTTTTCTATTATTTTATTATGAACGAACTTTGTGCATTACAAATTCATTTTTTGTCGTCAATGGTAAAAGGTAAATACACCGTTTTACCTCTTACGTGTTCCACATTACGCAAGAGGATCTTTGAAAGAAACACGTTATCGTACTTGTGTTAACGAAATTAGAAACTATATGTAACATATAATACCGACAAGTAAAAATTTGTGCTCTCTTTCAATAAAATTATTCAGATGAAATAAATAGCATATATATATACACGACACATAGAAATGATAATCTCGTGACAAGACTTTCTATTCTCTTTATCCGAAAAGACAAAAGTAATTTATCTCATCTTATAGATTTAATATTATAAAATCAGACTCTTCATCTCGTTCTTGCAGTCTCAAATTTTTAATAGCTACGCCGCATCTGCAGAAGAACATCGTCTCAGCACCAGCTATAATCCTGAGATGCGTGATTTTGCTCGATTGAATTGTGCTTCCGTTACATTGCTTGCGGAGCATTTCGGCTCGTTTCCAGTAAGAACACCGGTGACTTTACGAATATCCATGCGTGGTGATTAGAGATTTGTTAGAAAATTAAAAAAAAAAAAAGCTTCGTGGAATAAAATTTGCACGATGTATTGATGCCGCAAGGCAAAAAGAGAATGTATTTTCACAGATCACGAAATGAAAGTACGGTACGACTTATGACTAGCGTAAACTGGCTAAGATTTGCAAACTTATTTGAACCAACAATTGCTTTTTTTTCCTTTTTCTTCAGTTACAAAGACGCAGATGACGCGGACTAGCTCCCGAGCGCCAAATTGTGAGCTACCGTGAATCGCAATACCGTGTAGCACAAATTGACGGGAAATTATGTATGAGAATGTATAGAAACCGTCTATAAAAGATTCAACGTTTTTTGTCAAATAAATAAAATTACAAATTATGTTGGCTCGCATTACGACGCGTCGTTTACGCGCTTTCATCTGCTTGCGAACGAATTTCTATACGATGTCCACTCGCTTCTCACATTTCGATATTTCGTGATTGCGCTTAATCCTTAATTGATCGCGTACACACAAAATGCACGCAGTCTACACATTTATACTATATTATGCGATCAATCAAGACTTAAGGACAACGACTTACGAGTATTTCTTCATGTCTTTTCTTTGACACGTTCTTATATTACTTTATCGCGGTCGAATCAGCTAATAAATGATCGTAAAGCTGATATCAATACTGATATCAATACAAAGCGTTTGTATTATTACGGTAAGAAAATCTAATCTCAAAACGTACGAGATAATCTCATACAGAAAAGAAGCGATTCGAATAAAATTCAATTTTTAAAAAAGAAAATGCAATGATTTATCTTTGGAATATACATAAAAAGAATCACGTCTTTTCTTTTATATTGCAACGCGATAGCGAAATTCGTCTCCACAACACTCTGGATTACACATTTGTGCATTTCGTAGATTTCCCCGTTATTCGTTCATTATTTATCTGACATGTGCGTACACGCCAAGAAATTCATCCAGAGTGCAATAAACCTATTTTATCGATTGTTCCGTTTTCTCGACGCGGAGATACGATCAGATACGATAAAGAGAAGCGTATTTTTCGAGACATGACACTAGATCTGACAAAATGTTTTCTTTCTTCGTCAAACCTAGCAAGCACAAGTTTAAGCGCATTCAACTCTCATTGGTATGTCGACCAATCTTTATAATCTTTTTTTCCTCCAATAACCGTTTTACGTTATACGAAATTTTCAACACACTTTCGCAATTCTCATTATTTTTTCTTTTATAATTTTTCCTCGTTTTTAACACATCTTGTAAATATATAGATATACGTTTTTGCTAAGCGATATTGTTTTACTAATTAGATAATAACTATAAAGGATTTTTTTTGTATCACATTAATTTTCAATATTTCTTAAAGATGATTACTAGGTTTCTGCTCGTCACAGTGTTTATGTACCTGTTTACCTTCTCCCTCTCCCCATCCCTATAACAGCAATTCAATCTTATCGCAGGAACGGGGAGGGGCACAAATCCTTGTCTTCTTCATAAAATATTTGCACAAATATTCCGAAATACATGCATGTAATGCGATGAGAAAGTGAGCCGAGATTAATATATGGTGCGACTAATGAGGAATTTACATACTGGCAAAACATATATATTTTATACAGTAAAAGACTTGTGTCTTGCTAGTATGTACATTTCAGTAGATGACACAAACGGAGCTTCTAAGGGAAATTATTGTAACGCGTGAAACGACGTTTGTACTCTCGAGTAAAATTTTGATCTTCGTACTGGAAAAAGTGAAAATCTTGCGCTTTTACTTGACGCGTGGACCAGACATATCCAGTATATCAAAAGTAGTTTACTTGATACACCAGAAGAAAATGCCAATGCCGTACTCTGAAAACAAAAGTGAAACGTGAACATGTAACAAGCATTTATTTCCAAGATTCGTAACAATTTATAAAATATCTTTACAACAGCAGAATATTTAATAGAAACCATACCTCAAAAAAATGGTGGTGCTACTTTAACGTCTCTTATTGCCATGGCGTCGAGCGTATTTACGGGTTTTCCTGCAAAAGAAAAAAAGATTCAATTCGATGCTTTAAGGAGGTTCTACAGGTACTCTCTAGTCAGTTGAGAGATGAAGAGAAAATCTTTAAATTCATCGATTCTAAGTATTTATAAAACATTTTCGTGAATTTTGATGACGTTAGAGCTTATATCATACCCATATTAGTCGAAGCGAGGAATAATTAAAAATATCGTGTAAGTGCTCCTTTGACTCTGGCGGCTTATAATGAAAGAAAATGTGGTAACGTCGCGAACTTGACAGTTCTGCTCATATGACCGTGGTTATTTCACAATTTCACATAATTCTAGAGCGAGTACTTCTCCGTAAGCGCTCGTAAACGTTAGGTGCTTAAGTTTGAGGTGCTGTCATACTGTGGTGCTGTACTGGCTGTACACTTTTCGCGCGGGTGCAGTCGCTGCGACATTGCCAAATCTCCCTTGTTATTCGAAGCACGCTACGTGAACTGTGATATGGCCTGTTTCAATAGCCAATATTACAAAATTTTACGCGATAACCCTTGTTTTTCTCGATATTTTTGAAAAGCTTAGATTAAGATCTATAAGAGCTCCGTTTTTTGAATCTCTGGTAGGTCGCCTTTATATAATTAATATCTCGTTTCCTGTCTCCAAGAGCCCCTCTGCCATATGTAGCTTATGTTAAAAACTGTGATTTCAAAATTCATTTTTGCAAATTTTTACACGGTAAACGATGCTAAAATTTTTCGAGCACTTTTCTCGCATCTCAATTTATACGTCCATAAAGTTTTTTCCAATTTTTAGATACATCCATTATCTGTAGAACCTCCTTAACAATATATGACATTTTCTTAAACTGTGACCTAAAGAAGTGGCGATAGATACCTGATTCTGCTCGGAGACGGAGTCGGCGCATGTTCCGCGATGGCGGGTAGCACGGATCTGAAATTGTGGGTCGGACGTAAAATACCCGCGGTACGCGACGAAACTTTCCAGATTAGTTCCTGCCTGTAAGGAGTTTGCTCCTGTGCGTTATACTTGCTCAGTATGGCGCCCACCGCCTCATGAGTAGAGCAGAAACTCTCCTCTGAAATCTAAAACACGACAAAAACATGAGCTTTGAAGATCGACAAATAAATTATGCGAGCCGAATTATCTCGTGATTATTTTCGCTCTGTTTATCTTAATTTGTTCTTTGTTTTAAATTTCCATTTATTTAAAGAATTTACATTTTACAAAAATATTTTTTCCCCGTTTTACAAAAATATTTGTTCCACGATTTATTTCGAAATTTTATGTGTTCTATTCAAAGTGAATAATAAAACTTAAACCAAGTAATGAGGTAACATTTACGTTGCATTTCTCTTGGAGCCCCATGGCGAACTGCATGAGTTCGTCTTTCAGCAACTGGTAGGATGGCGCAATGGTGGATGCGTTGTGTGAAGATGGACCGTCAGCAGACACAGTGGCGTCCGCATTTGCATTCAGCCGATTAACAGCGGCGTCCAAATAAGTGCAGAGTAATACCAGAGCCACCTCAGATTGCCTGAGGCTCGCGCAATTACCGTCGCAAGCCACCATTTCCAATCTGAGGATCAATTCGGACTCCTGTAACAGGACGAACGGTGCTCGTGAGAGCGCAGTCTGACCATATAATTTTCGTGTCAATAAAACTGTACTTATAAAATTGGCATACAACGACTTAACAAATATTTCGAATGCTGTTAGAGCTTTATCTTTGGTGTCGAGGATCGACGAACATAATCTTTTTCTTTTTTTCAATTCTATAAATAGATTAGATGATAGCTCACCTTGATGATGCTGGTATACACGTCACCGAGATGCATTTGCTTCGCCACCGCGTGAAACATATTGTTGAACAGCCGTAGAAAAGTCAAGGTGGTAGTGGGCTGAGTACCGGGTACCCACTGCAACTTGTCTCGTATCACCCCCGACATACGTCTCAGGTCGTCGGCCGTGCATCGACATTGCGAGATCGAGACTAGATGGTCGGCATCTATTTCCTGCGCGCATTGGATGGCGGCTATGTAAAAGGCCGACACGCTGATGCAGGCCATATGCTTCTGCCTTGCCTTCATTTTCGTCAGGAAACGGTCCATCAGATTGATCGCAATGAAGAATACATCTGACGACAAGTCGTACACCACCTTCAGGCATCTTAGTACATGAGCGGATCTGTCCCGAGCACCAATCGTTATCTCATCGTCCTGGAACGTACAGACATTAGTGTGGTAATTAAACAAATGTTATTATTAATCTGTAATCTTAAAAATTAAGAACACTAAAATCTTAATGCGTCAACATGTGCATTGAACTGACGTGGCAGATAAAACTTATCACAGTTAATAATTTTATTGATGCTGCTTATAAAATTTTAACCATTTCTTCCGCGCAAAACAATTCTCACCTTTGTTGTAATAGGTAATTGGTGGAGGTCCGGTTGAAATTTGACCTCCTGGACCAGATTCGAGACCAGGTCCTCTTGCAGTTTCTCGAGCGGGGGGATGGCATCCGGTACAGGCAAGACCGTGTCCATTCCTGCAGTGTGTGACATCGCAACAGCTAACTACAACAATCCGACTACGACGACCCGGCACCCAGGGTTGGCTGATGTAGTGTGGCTGATGAGAAGAACCACACAACAAGAATGGCGCAGCTGGCCAAGCCTTGTATCTGTAAGCAGAGTATAAACGATTCGTGATAAACTTTGCGCGTCCGTACAAATCGTATCGTTAACGAGAAAAATAAAGTAAATATTATGACACACGAACACCCTGTTGTGGCTCTGTACCCTCGTTTTTACTTGTAGA